TCTGTTCCTGTGGTGGTGGCGGCGGCGGTGGCAGAGAGTCTCTGGAGGTTTGGGCGTTGATGAAGCTGTGGGTGCCGGAATCGTGGACCAAGTTGTTCGTTGTTCCTGATGACTACTATGAATTCGTTGGGATTTCGAGTAATTTCTTATTCTACCAACGTCACAAGTCTCACGAGTGCTCGAATGATGGCGTCATCGTCGTGAATCCAGCAACGTTGACAATCTCTGCTTATCATCTCTGGACGGGAGAAATTATCGACTCTGTCGTGTCGAACACGAGCGTATTTCTAATCATGGATTATGTGCCTTCTCGAGTTTCTTTGGTGTAAGAGAAAGGAGGGTTTCTTTTGGTCCAAGGAAGAGTTTGTTTCTGGGATATTCGTTACAAGTAAACTAGGAGAGGTTGGGATATATATTGTGTTTAATTTGTGTGTGTGTGTGTTTTTTTAAGAGAATGACTATCTGTGGAGCTCAAAATGTGATTTGGGAGTTTATTATGAATGTTCTGGACTTTGCGGATATGTTTCTTGATGTACAATGCTATCCGAAATTTTAAGTAAGGAACCTGTTTGGTGCTTACTTCTGTTGCGTAGCTCGATATTGGATCTCTTGAATTTGGTATAAATTTCTAAAAAAATATAGCCTCTTATTAATGGCGAGAACAACCCAACTCAATGCACAATTCAAAGTAAACGAAAGGGTAAACATCGCGCTAATGCGCAGTTCAACAACGCCCATTTAAAATAAAATGTCATCGCTATCAGCCTCCTATTATGATTTGTGTGCTTTCCTTTAGACTCTCTGTACTATTTCCAGAATTATGTAAGAGTTGTTTAGGTATGGTCGGACAAACTCCACTTAAATGGTTGTTGTTTAATTTGTCATGACATATATATGAGGCGAGTTTGATTCTTGACTATCTTTCAAAATTGTACTTTAATTATCAACAAACGGTGGCTTTAAGTGATCCGGCATACCTCGCGACATAACATATTTGTTATCGCGCGACTCAATTCAAACATCATTACAAATTACGTAAAAAAAAGAATTTTTCATGATAATTGAGTCCAACTCACACATTATAACATATCGCACATAACATATATGTTATTGATTCAATTCACACATCGTAGATTATGTCGAATTAATATTCATGGGATCGTGATAGTATAAAACAGATTTACAAGTCATCGTCTCCTCTCTTCAACAAAAATAGAGTTACGAATAGTAGGATTTTGCATAGAGCTTAAACGAAAACTAGTAGGGTTTTTCATATATAGCTAGATTGCCTTAGCTCGACTTTTCTTTCTCAACCCTCCGAATAGAATCCCATACCCAAAACGGCGGCTAGGGTTAGGGTTAACGCGAGCCAGCCATGCAGAAGGAAATTCCGGCGGACCTGCAGATCCACATCTTGCAAAAGCTTCCACTATCCGGCTGCATCATCCGACTCCGCCGCGTCTGCAGATCATGGCGCACTCTCCTCTCGGAACCCTCTTTCCTCCGGCAGAAACTATCCTGGCCCGACGAAGACGCAGACGAAACGTCGTCGGATAATTCTTCCTCGCTAACTATGATGATCGAGAACCACGACACGGACGGCATCGAACGCGCTAGGTCAGTTTACTCTCTCTACTCTTGCAACGCACTCAAACGGCTCCGCGAGGCGGCGGACATACCCTTCAATTTGCACAACTACGACATCACCGGGTGCTGCGGTGGTCTGTTGTGCTTCTACGAGCGACGCAAACGGCCGGCGGGGGCCCGGGACGCGATTCTCTGGAACCCGGCGACCAAAGAGACCAAGGTTCTGCCGCCGACCCTTTTCAGCGTTCCATGCAAGGAGACGTGGGTTCGTGCAGTTGGGCTCGGTTTCGACCCGGAGACGAACGACTACAAAGTTGTCAGACACATTCACTACTACGCTGTTGAAGATGATCCTCAAGGGTTTCGGTTCTATTACTTTGTGGAGCTTTACAGCTTGAGGAACGATTCGTGGAAGGAAATCGACACCGGCGGCTACCTAGAGTCCGACGACGACCCTTTCGATCCTATATTTTCGTATAGCGTAGAGCCTCAGTGTTATAACGGGAAGTTGTATTGGTGGAGGGACTCATCGAGCACTGAGTTTGTTTCGTTCGACATGACCAAGGAAGTGTTCGAAAAAGTGGATGTGAGAAACCCTAAGGTGCGTTGGGATGTCTGTTCCTTGTTCGTGTTGCCGAGTCAGGAGGATTCGTTGGTAGCGATCTGTTCCGTTGGTAGGGACGAGAGTTTGGAGGTTTGGGCGCTGCTGAAGCTATGGGTGCCGGAATCGTGGACCAAGTTGTTGGTCGTCCCGGCTGTGACTCACTTGCAAGATTTGTGTGGGATGTCGGGAAATTTCTTGTTTTGCTATTATCATGACATTGGGATTGTTGATCCGACGCGAAGATTCGTAGCCTATCATCTTGTGACCGGAGAAGCTATCGAACTTGACATGTCGATACCATATCAAATCATGAATTATGTGCCTTCTCGAATTTCTTTGACCAAGAAGAAAAACAGCTCAGATCCCGAGGTGAACTAGTGAAGGGTTTGAGATATGTAAATTAGCTTGATTTGATTTCGATGGAAGTAGAGGTTATGTATGCATCGATATACTTCATTTTTTTTTTATGCTTGCTTCGATTTAGTTTGATGATCGTTGAAAGACAGTGCATAATCATAGCAACCCATTTTTCATGAAAACCGATCGAGCTTCTTCATCATCTTAGCTTTCAGAAATTTCTCCTCGATTATGTCATCATAAGCTTTGGAAATTCTCCTTGGAGATAAGGGCAATTAATGTGTGATTAATATTTTTGGGGAAATTCTCCTTCATTCAAAACGAGAGAGAAATTGTTCGTTAAAAATTATTGGGAAAAAGATTAAAGGTTTTTTATTAGCAAAAAGAGTGTATTGATATCACACTAATGTGAACAGGCTACTCATGCGTTACTCACCATAAGGTTATAGACCGGACCTACTCCCGTTTCGGTAGATCTTCATTCATCTCTCTCGTTACTTTACATGGGATGGTTTCAAGAATTTTGATAGAGGGAGCTGTGGTATACCTGCACTGGGTTTTGCATGGAGATTAAACAAGTTGGTTAACTGTTGAAAGAAACAAAGTAAAAGCATGATAGAAGATAAGCTAGGGTTTATCTCAAAGTCTCTCCGCACACTATATATATATAGATCGCCTTATCCTTGCTTTTCTTTCTGAACCCTCCGATCAACCGAATCCAATCCCCAAAACGGTGGCTATAGCTAGCTAGGGTTACGTTACGCGAGCCAGCCATGCAGAAGCAAATTCCGGCGGACCTTCAGCTCGACATCCTGCGTAGGCTTCCACTAGCTCGACATCCTGCGTCCGGTTCCGCTGCGTCAGCAAATCATGGCGCGCTCTCCTTTCGGACCCTTCTTTCCTCCGACACAAACTATTCTTCATCATGTCCGAAAATTCGGAGCACTCTTCTTCTCCGCCGCCGCTAACTATGATGATCAACCACAGCTTCGGCGACATCCACGTTACACGGTCAGTTTACTCTCTCCACTCCTGCGACACACTCGAACCGCGCCTCGAGGAGGAGGCCGACTTGCCCTTCGATTTTAGCGACTACTCCGTCGTCGGCTGCTGCAACGGCCTGTTGTGCTTCCAAGAGCGACCGAGATGGCCGGAGACGAACATTAATCTAGTTCTCTGGAACCCGACAACCTCGGAAACCAAGGCTGTTCCGCCTCCTAGTAGTACGCTTTTCGACCGCACTACTACACATCATCATCATCAACATGTCGTCATGCATCATCATGCCCTAGGGTTTGGTTTCGATCCCGAAACGAATGACTACAAGATCGTGATAATCGGTCGTAGGGAACGTTTTCGTCGTCGTGGGAATGATGGGATCTACGTGGAGGTATACAGCTTGAGGAACGATTCGTGGTCGAAGAAAATCGATCATACCGGTTGTGTTCACGCATTGTCTTCTCTTCCTGTGCTTTCGCACCCGCGGTTTCCTCCATGTTGCGAGGGGAAGTTGTACTGGTGGAGCAACACGGATTGGCAAGGGAAGGCTACTCGTTTCGTGTCGTTCGATCTGAGCAGGGAAGTTTTTCGAACCGTGGATGTGGCGAATCCTGCTGCTAACAACAACAAGGGTTGGTTCGTACATTCCTTGTTGTTCGTGTTGCCGAGGAACAGGGAGGAGGATTCGTTGGTCGCGGTTTGTTCCACGGGTAACCGCGGCTCTTTCGAGGTCTGGGCGCTGCTCAAGTTGTGGGCGCCCGAATCCTGGACCAAGTTGTTCGCCATCCCGCGGGCCACGGCTGAATTCCAGAGCTTCTTCGGGGTTTCGAGGAGTTTCGTGTTTTACTATTATGACATTGGGATCGATCGGATTCTCGTCGCGTATCGTCTTGCGACCGGAGAAGTTTTCGAGCTTGCCGTGCCGCGTACGAGGCCAAAACCACAGCACGTCGTGGATCATGTGCCTTCTCTGGTTTCTTTGACCTAGAAGAAAAAAAAAGCTTGGTCGTTAGAGGTGAACTAGTTTGATGATCGTCCACGTACGTATTTTCAAATATAGGGATCATGTAGTGTACATATATGCATATACTGAGCTCGCTGAATTGTGAATTTTTCACTTCCACATAAGCCAACATATCATAATTATGCTACACTGACGATTCATCAACGTCGATTTCAACTAAGATTATCTTTCAGTTGCTACTTAATTACCAGATGCTTTATGTGATTTTATTAATACTTTTTGTTGTGACTTGAAGATATGTTTTTTTATACTGATTATTTTACTGTTTTGCGTCTGGTCCCAGGTTGGATTAGTATACATTGTCACTGAAGAATGTGGTATATACCTTTTCAATCTCTATTATTTGTATCTGCTTATGTATTCCTTATATACTAACATACATCAAGTTAGTGAACCACGTCAATATAGATTTTTACTTCTTCCAATGTTGATTTCTTAAATCCGTTACAACATGTACTCTATCTTGAATGAGAAAAAGTTAAAGTGTGGGTCCAATTCCAATAACAAAAGTACCAATAATACATTTGAGAGTTCATGTTATGGTAATTAAGAAAAGTCACAAATGGGAAAAAGAACTGAATCATGAGAACTTTCCTAGAAAATTATTGATGGTGGAGAGCTAGCTACTAGCTACAACAATAACGACAAGCAACAAGACCAAACCAACATATGCCACGTACGATGAAAGATATAGGTCACAATACAATGATACAAAATCAAATCAATAATAGTAATGGAGCCAAAAGTGAACTCGTGGAAAAGTTTGGGTAGTGGAAAATAGCGAAGAAGACGACTCAATGCACTTGGGTCAATGTGAACACTTGCATAGTGTGGAAGCCAATAAGTCATCCATCAGTGGCTGTGGAAGAAGGATGTGGAAAACAGGAGGAACAAAGTTGTGGTGGTGAATAGTAAATGTGTGGAAAGTCTGGGGCTGGCCGTTGGCGAGCCATGGCCCGACGGTCCGGTTCCGGTGCCACCGTTCTCGCTGCTCGACGGTGAAGGTCCCATCACCGGTCCTCCTGCAGGAGCGTCGACGGCGGCTCCTCCTCCTCCCTGGCTTGGGGATGGTGCACCTGTCGGACTTCCGCCAATTCCTGGTCATAAAAGTGTACGTTAGTAAAAATTTGTGACCAATTTGTAACTTTTGAATTTTTTTGGGATGGGATTAGAGAATTGGAATTTACTTTCCAAGTGGGTACACTACAAACAGCTCATCTAGCAGAGGAATGGGCAAGCATTGAAAGAAACAAAGGCATGTGATGGTTAGGCCAACTACCAACTTTAGTATAGACCAAAATTTGTCATAAATTTTCATACTCCTGATATGGTATATCATAGAGTTAGCATTAATTTATTTTGAGATAAGAACTTTGATTGCTTTTGGTTGATCACATGATAGATAAAGACAATTGAGTACGCTAATCACATGATGAGATATAGTGATTAAATTCCATCGGATGTGACAGATTAGTAAGTAACCCCACTTAGTTATCTAACTTGTGATCAAATCTTGTCCTCTAATATTACAACTAGCTAAGGGTGAGGGGAAAAGATATAAATCGAATCAAATTGAGTTAAGTCTTGCGGATGATCTTTCTAAAAATAGAATACAATACGAATTCAAGTAAATATAGAACAAAAGCTACATCTTCAATCCGACTCTAACCATCTCATTTTCCTCTACACTTAATTATACTATTTCCACTCCTGAATAATCTATATCATTCGAGTTATATTTACGAGTAATCTCGACACTATAATTCTTAAACATCATCTAGAATCTTTCTTTCTCTTCTAAAATCTCCTTTCTGTTTTCCCACCATGATGATGATGATGATTTCTTCTCCATGACTAACTGGGTGCGCAGTTGACTAATCTAGTCAAATGTAAATGCACCTCAAATTCCACATACTCCGAACATCGCAATGTGAAAAACAAAAACTTTTTCCTACCATACTTCATCGTCGAAACTAAGATAAAAACTCGGACCACCGGAAGTGATTTTCGACCAGAAAATCGAGCTATAATTTGGGCATGAATTTCAATGGCAATACCTACCCTTCCAAAACGACCTTAATTGCAGGCACACGTTCTCCCGTGAGCTAGCATCATTTTAGTTATTTTCTTCCTTTCCATAATCGATCGATCCAAAATAAATGCACCGATCGACAACCACTTATATTAAGCGGCGGTCCACACATTAATTGACCACACCCATCCCTCCCCATAGCTGCCATTTTGGACCCATTGCTAAAATACTATGCAAACCCTTTTTTCGTTCTTGTCACATCATTATAACGTTACGATGATAATACGAGGATGATAACATTTAACGACCGATATTATCCGTGACAAAGATCCAAAATTACGAATTATTAGAGTTTGCGAGTTTGTGTTTTACCTGGGCACAAACTAACGGGAGGAGTGGCGACGGAGCAGGCGGAAGGCAGCCCCAGGGCTCTCTTCCTGTCGATGTCGAACCCGTAATCAGAAGCGTTGAGGGTGAGCAGCGAGCAGAGGCAGATCGGGTTGCTGTCGACCAGACCGGCCAGCTCCGGGCAGCACGGTTTGTCCGGTTTGGTCAGGTTGCTACCCGTGGTCACGTACGACAGGCAGTCCGACAGGTTGAACAGCTGCGTCATGCAGTCCACCGCCGGAGCCGGCGCCATTTCTCCACCTCCTCCGCCGCCGCTGCTTCCCGGGGACGCGGGGCCCATCGTCGGGTTGTAGTAGGGAGCTGGCCCGGGAGCCATGGTCGTCTGGGCCGAGACGGCGGAGATGATGGCTAACAGGATTGCCGCGGCGAAGGCGGCGGGTGATCGGCGGGACATTGTGGCCGGGAAAGTGTTTGGGAGAGGAGAAACGTATGTCCTGTTTTTTTTTTGGGGATGTGGGGAAATGTTGTTTTCTGTGTAAAGAAGGTGGGAAGGGTTAAAGACTGTGATGGTTTTTATTCTGGAAGCAGGGCAATAAATGTAGGGAACTTCCCAACAACATCCTTATAACTTCGTTGCGGTCTTTTTATTAATTAATGATTGTCAAATTGTAATGACATTTTTTTATTATTGAAAGTTGTAATGAAATAAGTTTGGGGAAAGACTATTTTGTTTTGAAATCGTTGTTTGATCATAATTTAATCAGTATCGCCGAAAAATATTTATCAATTTAGACTTTCGTAAAAAAATTATTTTTATTGGACCGTCGATAAGATTTTATAAACATGACGCTTTTTATGTTTTGGGCAAATACAATATATTAGCCATAACTATCAAGCAGCGGGGAATTATAGCCACAACTATCGAAATACAAATTATTAGTCAATCGTTAAGTTTTCGTTAACATTTCTGTTAGTAATGATGAATAAACTTTTACGATGGTGAGCTGGCTCCCACGTGGCAGTCATCATATCATATTTTTTACGATGCTGACATGGCCTTCTACGTTAAAAAATGGAAAACAGTAACGGGCTGTTAGCCAAATCTTGACCCACAATAATAGTTATAGCTAATAATTTGTATTTCGATAATTGTGACTATAATTCCCCGCTACTTAATAGTTATGGATAATATATTGTATTTACCCTTATGCTTTTTATATAGTGTTGTTTGGTGGTGGAATGAATGTGGATGTGTTGGTTCCTAGTAAATGCTTGGCTGCCCAACTTTTCTGATCCAGTTGTTTTGTTGTTACTGTTATAAAAGGAAGAGAAAAATACAGATGGGTATTTTGTTTTGGTACTTGACTAACTAGCTACTATACTCAAACTAACCATTAATTCAAGGGGGTATTAAAGGCTTGGTTGGCTGGTTGTCCCAACCTTTGGAAATGTCATGTGGCCAGGCCGCCAGGGTGTGTTTGGTTGTTGTGTGTAGGGAAATTAGGAAAGAGAGTATTTTCTTTTGTGTGTTTTAGGAAAATGAGGAGAAAAATATCGTGTATATTGGGAGATAAGATATCACTTATATCAATTTAAGAAAAACATTTATGTCAACTATCAAAAAATTATTCTACTCGGTTTTCTATACTCACATTGGGCTCAGATAGAATAACAACAGTAAGAGTGTTGTTATTATAACAACAAAATTCATTAAGGGTAAAAGGGTAAATTAGACACAAAATAATAAAATAAAGTTAATTAAATTCACTCACCGCTGTCAGATCTCATCACCCTCTCCAACTCCAAAGCCGCCGAACTAATCCTCTCCGCCGCCTCCGAACACGGATTCTTCCAACTCGCCGGCCACGGGATCGCCGCCCAACTCGCCCAGTCCGCCGAGTCGGAATCGCTCGCTCTGTTCGAACTCCCCTACGACAAAAAGGAAATGCAGTTCACGAGGAACTGGCCTCTGGGATTTGAGCCCGATGAAGAGGCCAAGATTAGGGCGGTCCTATCGCCGTCGATCAAAACCGTCTCTCCGCCACCTTCGTCGCCGCCGTCGAGTGGGGACTCGTCTCCTCTCACCCCGGACTACTACTATCGCCAATTGCATTGCGGCTGCCACTCTCCGCCGATTGGTTTCCGCAGCGAAGTTTGTGGAAATTACAGTCCCCGCTTTGTAATCGGACAACGCAGAATCATACCCGCTGCGGCAGGGTTCGGCATTAGAACGAGAATTTGATGATTGGGCTTGGAATGAAACAAAATTAGTCGAATTAGGTTATAGCGATGAGTGGGCCGGTGGGGGGACGGCGGCGGCGGCTGGTCCCGACTATCGAGGAGTTGAGCGACGACGACGGAGGTGGTGATAGAGCCTGCATATCTGTGATAATTTGGTTTCACTACCGGAATCGGAAAATGGAAAAAGCGGAAGAAATGCTAATTGCGAGGGTAGAGATCAGAAACTGTAATTTTTTCTTTTTCTGTGTGTTACTGATTGCTCAGCTTGTTGTTCTCTGTGGAAGGAAACAAAGCTAAGGAAAAAAGGAAGGAGGTGGAGAGGTGTTTATACGAGGGACAGGAAAGGAAGGGTAACAGGAAAAAGTGGAGGAAGATTTCAGTAGTAATTTTTTTTAGTATCAGAAACACCACAAAATAAACCAGAAATATTTCTAAAGCACACCAGAAATTTCATAATACAAACCACAAACACGGTAAAACAAACCACAGAAAAGCATACCAGAAACCTCCCAATGCATACCACAAATTCTCTAAAACAAACCAGAAACACCATAAACCAAACCACAAATATTTTGAAACCACACCAGAAACCTCATAACGCAAACCACAAACACGTTAAAGCAAACCAAAAAAACAAACCAGAAACGTCCTAATGCAGACCAAAAATCTACTAAAACAAACCAGAAATCCCGCAAAGCAAACCACAGAATTTTAAAAAACACACCAGAAACCTCATAATGCAAACCACAAAAACGATAAAGCAAACCACAAAAACAAACCAGAAACGTCCTAATGCAGACCAAAAATCTATTAAAACAAACCAGAAATCCATCAATGCAAACCACAAAAATTTTGAAAGCAAACCAGAAACTTCTCAATGCAAACCACAAACACGATAAAGCAAACCAGAAACTTCTTAATGCAAACCACAAACACGATAAAGCAAACCACAAAAGGCATACAACAATATGAGAAACCAAACCATAAATCTCACAAAGCAGACCATAACAACCGGTGGTCGTTGGACGTTGACCGGTCAACGAAGACCGTTGACCGGTCAACGAAACCCGTTGACCAAACTCCGATGACTGTCAGTTACCAGATTCCGGCGCCGATAGGCATATTCCGGCCCCGATGACTAGATTCCGACGCCGGTAAGCATGTTCCGACCACGGTGAGCATATTCCGGCGACGGTGGCATATTCCGATGACAAAATAGCATATTCCGGCGACGAAAAGCATATTCCGATGACCGGCGACCATTTTCCGGCGACAGAATTCCGGCGACCAAAATTTTGGGCCGAAAAATAAAAAAAATATTTTTTTTATTTTTTTATTATTATTTAAACATATTTTTCATAATGAAAATTATACCCCTGCTTTGATTTTACACTAAGTCAACTCATCTAATAAAAAGTCATCACAACCCTAGCTTCCTATTGGTTAGAGACTAGTGTTGTTACAATAACAACACAATGAGTGTTGTCATAGTATCTAGTCTCACTCACATTACAACAGATGAACTCGGTTGTCTTCGTTCGTACCCGTAACACATTTATTTTTGTTTCTCGTAATTGATTGTAATTACTTCATCTTTCAATAATTTCATTATATTACAAAACATAATCTAATTAGTCGACACGAGTCCTCTAAGTACTACAAAAATGTCCTTAATGTCCATCAAATAGGATCATAAGACCCATCCAAATCACTGCTACACAAACACAATTATGAAGTATTCACGAGAACTTTTACATTTCGAAACACGCATCGAGTCCTCCGCTTGAAAAGGGAAAAAGAAACTGATCACAAGAGATCGCCATTGAAGGAAAGAAATAAGAAATGCCCCATGTGATAAGGGCACAGGCTGGGTACGCATACGACGACATACCCTACAGCGTAGAACCTTAACTTTTTGTTTGGATAATCAATACCGGAGATCACAAGACAAAATAAAAAACAGGGCAACGGATTGCCTACGGTCTCATGTCATTTCTCTTCTTTTTTTCCTTTAGTAGTAGAGAACCATGAACATACCCTTTTAGTGACGAAATACACGCGGATCTTGTTACAAAAAAGTTCAAGTTCTGCTTCTAGTTCTAGAGGTTGAGTTGTTGACGACGTGACGGTCGTTTAGAGATGATCCCTTCCAGTCAACTGTGGGCTTTGCCCAAAATCTGAACCCAGCTCAATACTAGCGAAAATCGTGTTACAACTTCCATATGAACCTTTTAGAAATATTACATTTACATTTTAGAAAGATTCGCAGCAATGTAGTTAAGATTGCGTTTTGAAACTCAAAAGTTTACAATTTATACTTCAAGGTCACTGAAATGCTTTTACGTAAAATCGCGCTTTCCACTTACAATTTTAGTAAAAAAAAACTACGCTTTAAAGCTTTAAAAACTTCTAGGTCACCAGAATGCTTCTATCTAGAATCACGATTTTGACTGCGCGCATTGATTCGCTGAACGTCAAACCAGGACAGCTGGCAAGCTATCTAGGTTTGGCAGTACACAGTTGTGTTGATGTGACTTGAATCGGACTATCAGCCGCTACGATTGTGTTGATGTGCTCAATATTGTCTGAGTTCGTGTTCTGGGCTGTAACTGCTTGTCCTTTACCAGATCATTGGATTAGAGTTAGACCTAGGAGAAGTACGTCTTACTCCTCTGTAATCTGTATCTCCTCGAAGTTTAGTGAAACTGACTCTCTCCTGCCCATGGACTCGCTAACACACATTGTGTTAGCGAACCACGTACATCTATGTATCGTTTTCTTTCTTACTTTTATATTCTTTTTTTGTCGAATCCTACCATATCCCGTTCCACAAAAGAAACAGAGAGGCTCAAGTAGGGCTGCAAATGAGCCAAGCTACTCGCGAGCAACTCGAGGCTCGAATTGGGAAAAACTCGTTCGAAACTCGATTCGTTTACTGACGAGCCAAGCTTGAGCCTAGCTATGTTCAGCTCGTGAAGCTCGCGAGCTAGCTCGACTCGGTGGCTTGTTGAGCTCAACTCGTGAGTTAGCTCATTTAGAGCTCATGAGATGTCTCAACATTGTGGTTTGAGGGCCAACTTGATCACTGACTTATGGACTAATCGATCTAATTTGGACTTTCATAATTCATAGGATTGTTAAATTATATATCTCACATCGTGTGAAGTTTAACATGTTGAACATGTAAGAAAATATGCCTTATTTTTAACTCTATAAAGAAATTATGTACAAAATTATTTCGATACTATGAAATAACATGATTTGAACTAGTTAAAATTTATTAACTAAACAATATGATACCTAAAAATTATAATATAAGATTAATTAATGTTGAACATTTGATTATTTTTTTATCACTACATCAATCACATGTACCATACACGACATACAAAATGAATGTATTAAATACGATCTAAGAATTTAGTAAACAAGCCTAACTCGAACTCGACTCGACTCAGCTCGTTA